TCGTTTTGTATCTCCGTTGCCAACCCGGAAATGAAACAATTTAGGATGGCATCTTGGGATAACCCGACAACTCGAGTGCCTAATTTTTTAAACATAGCTTGGTATTCTGCTACAGAACCTGCCTGCTTTAATTTAAATAATTCTGCCTGATGGTTAGCATAAGTGGATGGACCAAACCGCAGTTCCAACGCTTTAGTGAAGGATGGCCAATCAATTAAAAGAAGACTTTGATGCATCCATTTGAACCAACAGAGGGTTTCACCTTTCATATAAAATGACATCATAGACAATCTGTTTTCAGGAGGTAAATGGTAAAATTCAAAAAATTGGTCGGCCTGAAATAACCATTCCAAAGGGTTGGAGCCATCAAACATAAGGAGTTCTAGTTTAGGTGTACGGAAAAGAGGAAGGGTTGTAGTGGGTTGAAGTGGGGGGAAAGACATAGGTTGGAACATTGGAAAATTGTAGTTCTGGGAAAAAGGTAGGGTGATGGGTTGAGTAAGATGAGGTGAAGACAAAAATCTGGGAATTTGGGTTGGTGTTGTATGTGTTATTGCCATGGTGAAAGTCGTGGGTTGGAGGTGGTTAGAAAAAGACCCCGAGTGTAGTTGACGGGTGTAGGGGGTTGAAAGGTAGAGTAAAGATGAGGAGAACCTGAATGAATAACAGTAGGGCTGGTATGGGTGGTAGGTATAGAGCAGAACGAGGTATAGCAGTAATACCTGATGAGGATGCTGCTACTACTGCTGTTTGTGCAATGGTAGCAGGTTGTGCTTCCCGTTGAAGCACAAATTTGTTAAGCAAGCCCATGATATTGTCATACCTTGAATATGAGATTTGCTTCTCATTGTCCATACGAGTTTGTATGAGTTCCAAATCGGCTGAAATTTTGTCAAACCTCTCATCCATTTGCTATTGTGTTTGGTTCATAGCATTATCAAGATGCATATGGGCTGTTTGGACAACCTCTTCTATGATATCTTTAGGGTTTGGGGGTTTGGGTGGAGGGGTCATGAATTCAAGGAAATGAAAGCACCAATTGATAGAAGAGGGATTTTAACAATAATTTCAAAGGGGGATCTAGGATTTCTCCATAAGACAGCACAACTAGAAGAAAAGATAAAAAGATAATAATAAATATCTTGATTTTTGTATCCCCTTTTAAGAGGGGATACAAAAAAGATAATAATAAGATAATTTCAAAGGGGGATCTAGGATTTCTCCATAAGACAGCACAACTAGAAGAAAAGATAAAAAGATAATAATAAATATCTTGATTTTTGTATCCCCTTTTAAGAGGGGTAACAGGATTTAAATACAACATAATCTTAAATGGGCTACAAAAGATTAGGCCCAAAACTGAAAATATGCAGAATTAAATAAAAGAGACAATCTATTTTAGGAAGTTTTACCTCATACCCCTACACTTATACCTATACCCCTACATTAAAAAATTTTGGACCAAAATATCCTCGTATAAAAATTTATTATTTTTTAATTTTTTTATATTTTTTTATTTGTTTATCGGAAGACTTTTTGGAAGTCTTCCTGTTCACATTTTTTCGTAGGTTTACCGGAAGACTTTTTGGAAGTCTTCCGGTTCATATTTTTTCGTTTGTTTACCGGAAGACTTTTTGGAAGTCTTCCGGTTCATATTTTTTTTTAATTTGTAATTAATATTTAAGATTTATTAACTTTATATAAAGACCAATTTAGTGAATTTTTGAATATTATACTTAAAATATAAAAATTCTATAAATAGAGAATTATTTTCAGAATATTTTCTATTTGATATAATTATTAGAATACAATGATATTAAAATTATTTATTTTAAATGATCATAATAGTAAAATTTTCTCAAATATCTTATTAATCTTAAACATTAATAAATAAAATAAATTTAAATATAGGATATAAGTTTACATTATTCAATATATTTAATCAAATGAAAACATATGTGATAAATAAATAATGTATTTTAACTTAAAATGATCACAATAAGTTAACTTGCAAAATAATATAAGTAATAAATTAATAATGTATTTTATTTAAAATAATCACAATAATAGAATACGTAAATAATGTGTTTTATTTATAAGACTGATATAGTTTTATTGATTATTTAATTTTAAATACTACTATGAATATAGTATTTAATCTATACTTTAGAACTCACATAATTATAAATATAAAAAATATTGTTTTATTACCCATATTTTTATTTAATTAAAAAAATAAGAATATAAATTTATTATTTGTTTTTCATTTTCATTTGATCTTTTTTTTATTTATAAATTTTTTGCATATTCTATACTCTGCTTACTTTAAATAAAATATATTATTTATTTTATTAAAAATATTAAATAAAGTGGAATAATTAAAAAGATCAAACAAAAATGAAAAACAAATAATAAATTTATATTCTTATTTTTTTTAATTAAATAAAAATATGGGTAATAAAACAATATTTTTTATATTTATAATTATGTGAGTTCTAAAGTATAGATTAAATACTATATTCATAGTATTATTCAAAATTAAATAATCAATAAAACTATATCAGTCCTATAAATAAAATACATTATTTGCGTATTTTATTATTGTGATTATTTTAAATAAAATACATTATTAATTTATTACTTATATTATTTTGCAAGTTAACTTATTGTGATCATTTTAAGTTAAAATACATTATTTATTTATCACATATGTTTTCATTTGATTAAATATATTGAATAATGTAAACTTATATCTTATATTTAAATTTATTTTATTTATTAATGTTTAAGATTAATAAGATATTTGAGAAAATTCTACTATTATGATCATTTAAAATAAATGATTTTAATCCTAATATTCTAATAATTATAGTAAATAGAAAATATTCTGAAAATGATTCTCTATTTATAGAATTTTTATATTTTAAGTATAATATTCAAAAATTTACTAAATTGGTCTTTATATAAAATTAATAAATCTTAAATATTAATTACAAATTTAAAAAAAAAACATGAACCGGAAGACTTCCAAAAAGTCTTCCGGTAAACAAACTAAAAAAATATGTATCGGAAGACTTCCATAAAGTCTTCCGGTAAACATACTAAAAAAATGTGAACCGGAAGACTTCCAAAAAGTCTTCCGGTAAACAAATAAAAAAATATTAAAAAAAAATTAAAAAATAATAAATTTTTATACGAGGATATTTTGGTCCAAAATTTTTTAATGTAGGGGTATAGGTATAAGTGTAGGGGTATGGGGTAAAACTTCCTCTATTTTATCTCATAATTCTTCATCCATTTTGGCTGGACACTGGTTCGTATGGGCCTACTAACAATATATGTATTCATTTTTTCTTTTACTTACTCCAATATGATAATTATAATATGTAATTTATATGTTATTTTATATATTAGTAATGAAATTGAGCATTTTTTAGACTTTTTTTCCTCAAAATTTTAAGGCTTAAACTCTTGTTTGACTCGTCTTACCGACGGTCCTGTTATCCATGACTACGTTCGTGATTAAATACTGTTCAAAATTTATTTTCCATTAACAAAAAATTGTAAGAGTCCTAATATTATTTTTTATGGGGAGTTCTAATATTATCTATATATTCGTTTTTACTCTCTAAAACAAATAATTAGCATTAATAAATATTTATTTGAAAAGAAAACAAGTATCTAATAATTTTAAATAAACAAATATTTATGATTTTATAAATAGAGTCTATAGTATATAACGAGGTGGTAATTTTGTGTTTGTTAGAGTAAAAAATTCAGAGTGAATTTAATGAATATTTTGGTCTCTGAAACTGCAATACAATTTGATTCCCCAAATTAAATTGTTTTATTAAATTAAACTTTGAAGTTAAAGATTGTCGGACAATTTAAATTCTCCTGTCATCCATTAAGATTAGAAACATTGAATTTGGTCGTTCTTTAGAACAAAGCTTAATTATTGAAGCATTTTTCATATACCTATTTGTTTAAGGTTTTGTTAATCTCCATTTTAAGATCTAAGTTCATCGAAATTGAAAATATTAATTAATGGTTCTAAGACAGAATATAAAAATAGTCATGATAATGGTAAATGGGATAAAATAAGACAATTTTTCTATTAAGAATTTACAAGTTGTCATGAAAATGGTAAATGAGATAAAATAAGACTTTTTTATTTATTTATGAATCAAGACATTTCATATTGATGACAAAACTCTCCTAACACTACTGCTTTCCCATAGCTGGAAAATTAAAATTGTATTAAAATCATTAATTTATATTTAGTTACATCACAAAATACAGATTAAGTACGCAATGCAATTGGTGTCTGATATGGAAATAATATATTGTATTTTTGGTAAGCAATTTTCTTTTTGCACACAATGAATTTTATAGAAATTAATCATTTAAGATAAGATCACCAAAATTTGTAGATATTAATCATTCAAAGCGACTATGACGTCGCCTGGAAAACATTTTTTCATATTTATCCATATTGTATATCTATGAATTGTCATATATTTTAAGATGTATCCATACACGACCCTAGTTATACTTGATGACAATTGTTCTGCCCAATTTTGTTGTTGTCATCAAACATGCCGCAACCTGATGCTGAATCCTGTTGTCAAACATAGTACTAATATGCAAATTTCACAAACCTACGCGTAATTGATATTCAAACTTGATCTAATGGTGCAAAAGAAAAGGTGCACAACCCAACAGACCCATTCATCCAGAGAGTACATCATAAAAGACAACTACCTCTTGATGCAACATCATCCTGAAAAGATGTAAAATAAAATAAAGACCAACTTTATACAACAACCGAGATACCACGAACCTCAGTGAGATATGATTCTAAAAGAAAAATGTCAATTCGAAAAGAAAATGGAAAGGATCATGTCAAGTTTATGGATCTCCAATGAGACAACATACATCGGAGAAACAATGAACATATATATGACATCCTTAAAAGCCAGCGCCCCTGGGTCCTTTAGTTAGACATCTGTGGCAGAGGGATCAAATGATGGTAGAAGCCAGCCCTTGGTCTGGGCATGCTCCACATAGAAAGCAAATTTTTCCTTTGCATTTGGAATGTCGAGAGCCAGATCATCAAGACCATCCTTAATTCGGGTGAACCCTTTAGTCATCTGATTGGTGGTGATAAGGCCTTCACTAAAGCATTCCTGCAGCAGATCTAGCAACCTGTCATTCTTCTTCTCCATGGCCATAACCAAGGCTTTCTTCACTACCTCGTGGTTAAAGAAAGGCATTCCCAAGTCACGGATACATTGGCATGCTTCACTGACAACCCCGCCACTTTCATACTCCTCCAAGAGCTTCATGATCTTGTCCTTAGCATCCTCCACGGCCCATCCAGTTCCCCCACCCCAGCATCTCAATAGCCTTTCACCTGCATGGCGAGCAGAAACAAGTGTTCGAGCCATCCGCACAGTTTCACTACCACTGCTTTTTGGTGGTAGCCTGCTGCTAATTTCATCCAAATTCAATGGGGCAAGCACATCATCAATCACAGCCCGAGCTAAAAAAAGTGCAAGCTCATTGGAAGCATCCAGTATATCCAGTGTCGTATCTTCTGCGTTTTCCAGAAGCAGGACAAAACCATTAACTATATCCTCCGTTGAGAATATCTCTATATGAAGAGCAGATAGTAGGACAGATGCCATCTCCTTTTCTCTGTTCTTTCGGTCCAAAGCAAGTGTTATTAGCCTCTTCAAAAATACTGAGTTATACTCAGGTGCTCCCAGATCTTCTAGACTTCGAATGAGTTCAGGAATGTCATCAGAGAGAAAGTACTCATGAATTATAGTCACAGCTTCCTTTTTGTACTTCCTCACCTTCTCATCTTCAACTTGGAATTCCCCATTTTCACCAGCTGGATTGGTAAAGGAGGCATCAAGCCATCCTTCAGAGATTGCCTTGGGGACAAATGACTGAAACAAGGCTTTAGCTGATGGAATATCAAGAGCAAGATCATCTAGACCTTCTGCCAATCTAGAAAACCCTTTCACCATTTGGCTGGAACTAATTAGTCCTTCTTCTGCTGCTTCTTTTAATAGCTTCAGCAGTAGAGGTTCTGACGAAGGATTCTCCATGGCAAGTACCAGAGCTTTCTTCACAACTTCGTGATGGAAGAACGCAACTCCCAACTCACGTATACACCTACAGGCTTCAAGTGTCTCACCACTATCCACATATTCTCTAAGTAAATCAGCAATCTTTTTCTTCACTTCTTCAACAGTAATGTGAGTGCTACCACCCCATCGCCTTTCCACAAGTTCTGCATGGTGTGGAGCTGAGAGATAACTCTTCTCAGCAGTCAGGATTACCTGAACTCCCTTGGAAGATTCTGGAAGAGCTTTCCTTGCCCTGGCAAGAAAGGCTGGAGGAAGAATGTCATCTACAACAGCACGTGCCAGGAATAAAGCAAGGATGTCAACTGCATCCAAGATATCCACTGCAAGATCATCAGCAGATTCAATAAGCATAAAAAATCCATCCCTAATCTGTGTGGGACTAATGACATCAGCATACAATGCTGAAAGCAGAACAGAAGCCATTTCTTTCTCCTTATCATGCCTGTCCATTGCCATGGAAACAAGCCGCTTAATGAAGTATGGATAATATTCACTTGTGCCGAGTTCTCTGAGGTCAGATGCTGCCAAATCTACATCCCCATTACTGAAGTATTCATCTATTAGGGATGCCACTGCTTTCTTGAAATCATCCAACGGGTCAGTAACAGTAGTTCCAACTAGCTGATAGGGTTCCTATATAGAGCAAAAGTATGCAAATAGGTCTATGTTATGTGTTTATTTATATAATTCATTTGCATATAACAGAGAGAGATGGAAATGAAAAGAAAAACAGACTACAATCTACACTGCTATAACAAGCATCATATCAAAATTTTAAGCAGCTAATATAACATGGTAAATGCTGCAAGAAACAGCCAACTAAACCACAAAAGTCGAAAAATATTTCACCTCTCCACTGTCATAATTTGGATCATTGCGGTCTATGTGAGAATCAATTTCTGTGTCCAGCAATTTTCCCCAGGTGCCCTTACCACCAGCACCATCTGTATCCAAAAGATAAACAATTGCCACATAAAGACCATTATTAAAAATATAAAAAAAACTAAAGAACATTGACAGCAGTATCACATATTGGCCCTGTATTATGGAGAAAGGAAAGGAAAGAAATATCTAACTAAAATGCTTAATATTCCTCACTGGTTGATGAAAATTGCCAATAAAAAATTATAATTTAAAAAACCAAAAGTTTATCACGACAAAAAAGGCAGAAGTGATGCCCATAAACATAATACAGTGATATCCATAGCCACATATTAGTAGCCATATCAGTTTACACCTTTTCACTTGGAAGCTAATTATAAATTCACACCACTAACACTAGATAACCAATTATTGGATAATCAACTCATCCAATTAATACAATGTGTAACTGGATTTACTAGAAACTTGGTAACTTTAAAATGTAAATGCAATATTATTTTTCACCCTCAAAACAAATGAAGTTTCAGTCTTAATTTGCAATGATGTCTGCCACTATGCCTCAAGTTCAATAAGATTTGCATACAGCTTCGCCTTCAGAATTAATTAATTATTTCCACCCTTTAGATAACGAGGAAGGAAGCAACTCTATGCCCAAATATTCACGTACTGGAAATGCATTCATTCACCAATCACCATTATATGTATCAACTACTAATCTCAAACGTGGTATGCTACTCTGCTGGATAACACTAGTACCTATCATTTCTTATAGACGTGGTATGCTACTCTGCTGGATAACACTAGTACCTATCATTAGACGGCTAATCCTACAACTAAATCATAATAATAACATTTAATCCCAATATTTTCCCCAGCCCCCCAAAAAAAGGTCATTGGCGGCACAAAACAAGGAAACAAGGAAACGTAGTATTTGAAACTTTCTTATCCCAGCTATTAACTTGGTCCCACAAAAGTTTTGAAGATCCTAATAAGTCTCTTGTTCAGCTAAATATATATCTTAAATTCTCTCTCATGTGTCTTTCTTCTAAACCCTTCTCAAGAAATCCAACAACCTAATCAAATTTATTCTGTAATTCACTCAGCATGGGAACTTAATAGGAATAAACTCAGCATAGATAATCCACAACAAAAACAATTAAATCTTATCTCACTATGTAGGCTTGGCTACAAGGATCAAATTCCGCCATAGATAATCTATTCAAAAATAAAATTCAGAAGAACACACAACTCACCTTTCTTCGCCCGCCCATACTTCCCAGAGTGACACCTTCGCACATGCCTCACAGCAATCCCAGCAGTCTGAGCTTTACCACCAGCAGGAGCTTTGATGTGATGATCAGCAAGCAAGGAGGAAGGTGACTTGGGCGAAGACGATAAAGCCGACAAACTCTCCGCATTTTGACTAGCAATTTTCAACATTTCCCTCTGTCCTTCAGTCAGAAATCCCTCATTGGACGCCATTTACTCAATAACACAAATAACCTCACCTATCAATCACACTATTTCATTAATAACAGCATAAAACACCAAAACACAGCGCTATATTAACACAAAACTTCAGTTCAGTAAAAGTTCAACTTCCAAACAAAACAAAAAAACATCCTCAATAACAAACTAATAAAACACAAGATTAAATAGAACCCGAATGCATAACATCACATCACAGTTTATCAGAAACGCAAAATCAAATAGAATAAATAAAAAATACGAACCGCGAGAGAGATAAACAGTGATGAATAATACGAACCTGTGGTTTCAAAATGCAAATCAGAATTTCTGGCTTGGCCCGGATCTCGAGCCAAGACAGGAGAAGAAACTGGAATTTCCAAATCGGAGACTGCAACAGAGTTCGGAACAAAATCGAACGATACGAACCGAAGAGAACGTGAAACCCTAAACGGTGGTGTTAGATAATCGGAGAGTGATAAATCGGTGGAAAGCGAGAAGAAGAGAAAAGAGAAATGGATGAGAACGAAGGGGAAAAAAATGGAAGGTTTATATAGGGGGGCTGCGGTTACATGTACACGTCACCAATGGGGCGAGGTTTTCGGGTTTGGGCCTATTCTATCCTGCATAGGTGTACACGTGGCGTTGATGCTACAGGTTGAACCGGATCTACATTATGTGCCCTCTCTTTTGCTTTTTGCCATTGCCAACAAATAATCCATAATATCATAGCTTTAACCTAGTGTAGAATGTGAGGTATCCCTATCCATTTCTAAATAGAAATTTAGACTTGATTATCATAGCTTTGGTGAACAATAATGTAAGATAAGATTATAATTATAATTGATATAACCAATTTTAAACGGCCATGAGTTTCTATTTGTGGTAGTATTTTTAAATTGTTGTTGAAATTTCATGTGATTTTTAAGTGCTGATCTAGTGGAGATCATCTATGAAAGTGATCAATTATAGAAATTGTTTTTAAGTATATTGCATGTTTAATCAATATGTATATTTTGTTTATTGTGTATATTTCACTTGTCAAAAATAATTTCGACTGCCTATTTATGCACAAAATCGGTTAATTATAGATAATTCTTAATCAAATGAAATATTGTCCATTTCTAATTATAGCTACGCTAATTTCATTTTAAATTAAACTTTTATTTTTCAATTCATTTTCTCAGGCTAAAAATCTCTTACTTAAATTTGATTTATATTTTGATTTTTAATTCAACTTTACTACTTTCAAATCAAACAAAGTATAATAGTAGAATCAATACTATTAAATTTATTTTTCAATTTTTGATACATAATCTTGCTAAAATTTTAATGAAAACTTTTTTTGATTATACAATTTTTCCAAAATCCAATTCGTCTTCTCCAACTCTTCTTTCATAGGTAATAAAACTTTTGAGTTTTTGGTTTTTTTCGACGCCGGTGGATGCATGGCTAATCAAAAGAGAAATTTTTTTATCTAACACAGAAAATGATATACAAAAGCGAACAAATTTATAGAAAGTGGAGATTCATAGTATTAATGTTGTTTAAATAATGATATTACATTTTTTTACAATTAATATTGAGATCTTTATAAATGTGATTCATTAATCAAATATAATTCGTCTTATTTGTTTTAATTTTCTATGTACTAATGGTAAGGTTTATCATTCTTTAACCAAATTCAGATCGTCTTTTTTTTGCTCTTCTTCAACACTTAAGGTAAGTTACGAGTTTGTTGTTAATTAATTTCACTTCACTCGTCCAAATCTGATTATCGATTCCAAATTTATACTTTTTTATTCCAAATATAAGATTAATGGTCTCATTGGCAAGTTATTTTTCATCATTAACTTATTTTATTTCACAAATACATCAGAAACATATATAAAAATCATGACATGTGGTGATTATGCGATTTTGATTAGTGAATGTTTGTTAAGTAATAATGGATAGTGGTGACTTTTTTGGCGGTTAGTGAGGTTATTTTTGTTTCTTACATTTATTTTGACAATTTAGATTATTTCATTCTCTTCTATAATTCATTATTTCACAATCACGATAAAATTGGTTTTAATCATTCGATGTAATGCATCACTATTTTGCTTAGTCAAAGTTGACATTTGATGGTGTTGATGTAACGAGAGAAAGATTAGTGAATGAATTGTGTGATTTCTTTGACATTTAACTCTAACCTTTATAGTTCTTTATTGCATTTACAATTCATATTGGATTTTGTTGCAACATAATTATTTGTTAAATCTGTGTCAATCTTAGGAGTTAAGATATTAAATTGACTTTGATTCTATTGTATCAAATCCAAAAAGATAAATGATATTTTCTTACTTCTCTTAGGATTTGTTTGTGTCAATCGATGGAAGGGGAGAGATGGATTTTTATCAAACGGAAAGAAGGTAAAGGGAATGGAGGAGAGAGATTTTAATTGCATATATGTTTAGTTCAAAATATGAAATGGGAGATGATAACGGATTTTAATTACAAATATGTTTAGTTCACAAAGAGAGAGGACATATTTTAAAACTAATTTACTTTTTATCCTTATAGTTTACCATAAGACTCGTGATATTTACCGTTCATAATTTGAACATAAATTCATTAACAAAATATAGATATACAGTCAGAGAACACCATAAAAGATTTTAGGCTTAATTGAAACTTTGGTACCCCTATTTTAATTTTTTTAAGGTTTTGGTCCCCCATTTAAAAATTTGGCTTATTGATCTCTCCATTTTAACAATTTACTTGATTTGTGCACCACAGGTCTAGGTGGAATTCAAAATAGAAGGGGCAACAACCACAAGCTAAGTAAGCATACATGTGAAATTATGAAGAAGGAAATCTGCCAACCAAGAGAATAGTGGGTTGTTATGCAGGGCGTTCCACTAAGACTACTCACATTATAAATATGTCCAATTCTAAAAGCATGGGCATCCTTTTTTCTACAAACTCTGGAGGAAGCTTCTAATCAATCAGAGTTTATTATGAAGATAGTTATAGGTCTAATATCTATTATAAATAACGAGCTTATAAATGTTGGACGTCTGATGGTTTAAAATATTAAATACATGGCTGACGCATCAGAACGAGAATGTGGACATTTTTGTATAATTAACGCATTGTGCAGATTATCAGGTGTCCAACGTTGCCCAGATGATGAAATGGTCTCTTTAATGCAACAGATCAGTCGTAGCTCCATGAGAAGGATACCAACCATTCTTGTTCATGGGGGTGTGCAAGAAGAATGCCAAGATGAAGGTCAATATCACTTTTATCATCTAGATATACAACAATAGCAAGATGTTCTTGAACAAAAATATCAAACCCCTAATCATTTACAAAGGCTTGAAGAGCATGTGTTTGGTATGACAAGTAGTTGGGCCACTAAAATTTAACCCAACTTGTATGCCGAACCAACCAGATTCAAACTGCATTTTCAATAATATTTTAATAAGAAACGAGATCATATGCCTATCCAAAACTTGCAAAAGCGTTTTGCAACTTGAAAGACATGGAGACATATTTCAAATAGTGGGATTAAGCATTAGTCCACATAAAAGATCATCTGAGAACAAGTTGGGATTGGAAAAACCAAGATTTTATGGATACCTTGGATGACATACACACCTACTTAAACTTCAACAACATGTGATTTAGAATTTTCAGAATTTTATCAGTTTTTAATTTTAGTTATTTTCCTTTTTGTACTTCAATTTGATTAAGAGTATTAGTTAAATTGAGAATGTTCTTCCATTTTTGTAATTTCTCTATGATTTACTTAATGCATGAGTTTGTGGTTGTTGTTTCTTTCAGTTAATGATTTTCTACCTTACTAATGACAATATGGAGGCGAGATAAAACATGTCACCAGAAAAGAAAGATAACAAATAGTTGATCATTATAGAAAATTCTGATTCAGAGTGACATTTGATCAAGAAAAGGGATAACCACCTAAATTGTGCTCAATTTCCGGATTGTGAGTGCATCCTTCTGCTTAGTTGTATTTTGAATGATGTCAAAACTAGGAGAAACTTTAGAGATTTGTACATTGGATGATATCAACCAAATTCTAGATGTGAATTATTCATCTTAGCTTTAGGTTACATATAAACATGTTTGAAAATGATTGGAAATGACTTAGGAAAGGTCCATGCATAAAAAAATTAAGTTTTCTAGTGTGAAAACTATAACATAGGTCGACACATAACTCACTTAGGTTGACACTCATGCCTCAATAATAAAGCATGTAGTTATTATCTATGTGTCACCTCAAATAGGTCGACACATATGCTTTCATAAGTCGACCTATAGACTTGATTTTTTGTTTGTTTTCCTTTCAATTCCTCATGCACGCCCTTTGTTTCATATACACACACATGCATCATTTTCTGGAAAGGTTCTAGAGTGAAACCTATATGAAACCATAATTTCAAAGCATACTCATCATATTCAACCTCTATTTTATGCATACATACAATCAAACTATACATAATCATTTTTTGATTGGGTGACCATCTAGATTAGGGTTGCTAATGTCCAATTAGGTTGTTATACCGAGAATATTGGGTTGAGTTCTTTAAGTGTTTCAAATAAGAAAACCGAGTTGGGGTTTTCCTTCAAGATCATTGAGGATTTGAAGGTTTTGGATAAGATTACACAATTTTGATCTGATTAAGTGAAAGCCTTGAGACAAGGTGGTTCTTTACAAGGGAGTAGCGTGAGACGGTGGATCATGTTGGTGAATCTTAGGTTTCAACAAGTGTGAATATGGGATTAATTAGACTGTGTGAAAGTCTTGGGACAAGTAATGTCTGGCAAGGAAGTAGCAAGAATTGGTGAATTGAAGTGACATTGTTGGTGACTTGATCAATCTTTGATCAATGGTTTTGGAGGTGGTAGAATCAACAACGAACCATATGGTTTGTAAGGTTAGATTTCTTTATCTCTTGTACATACACTTTTTGAAAAGTAAGGTTAATTGCAAGTATCTCAACTTA